AATTTCGAAAAATGCTAAAACACGTATTTATTGCATTTTATTAAAGAGCATGTTTCAAGTAATTCTGATCAGAAATATTTTTTGGATTGTATTGTAACGTGTTTTCCTGTGAATGGAATGGAATTAGATAAATTCCCGCGGTATAAAGTAGCCTATGTTACTCTCCAGCCCTCCAACTATAATAAATATAATATCGAAAAAAGGACAAACAAACAAACAAACAAACAAACAAACAAACAAACAAACAAACAAACAAACAAATAACAAACAAACAAATACACTTTCACATTTATAATATTAGTATGGATTTATTTAAATGTTACTTACAAAGAATTAAATGAATATATATCCAAATAACTTTGTTTCAAGTGAAGCCAATAAAAACGTGAAAATAATCTTATTAGTCCTGTTTTCATTCAATCGGTCAAGTGCAAGTAGAATTCGCACACGAAGGGTTCCGTACCATCATCATATGCTTTTTATTAATATGACTTTTACTCTATGTATGTAGTATATTAACTTCGATGATCGATTACGAACGTTAAAAAAATGTTTCGTGTATTATTATTTTTTGGTATAGCGGTAATAGAAATACATACTCTGTGAAAATTTCAACTCTCATCTTTTACGGTACAGCCCTCTGGCAGACGGACAGATGGCCGGACAGCGGAGGCTCAGTAATAGGGTTCCGTTGGAACCCTACGGGTAAGGAACCCTAAAAACGTGATAAAAAAGATCCGTTTAAATGATACAGTGAGTTTTTACTATTGTCAAATTCAATTGGTATGGATTCAACGACTTGTTAAAAATACGTTATTATGAAAATTAAGTAAAAAAGACTTTGTCTCGTTACACTTTTTTTTATGTAAACATTACTTGAAACAAAACACAACAAAAAGAATCACTTTATTTTATGATAATTATTATTTTGATATATTATCTATTATTTATTTTTTTCTTACAAATTATAATAATTGTGCTTGAATTATTAAAGACCAAAATTCTTATTGTTTAAGTTCGAAACTCGAACAGTTTTGTTTGTTTTCAATTCTGAATCTCCTTCCAATCCCAATTTTATGTAATTGGTTTTGCTTCAATTTGTTTAGATATTGATAAAATAAATCGTTTTCAGGAAATCGTGAGAGGTTAGATTCTCCAGAAATTTACAGTTTCCTTAAATATTAAAAGACACATTCTATACATACATATAATAAAACTGTAACTGATCGTCTGTACATGGAAGATATTTGATAAAAACTATTATTGGGGGTCTTTATTAACACAATAGAACCCAAAACAATGATTTTTAGAATTTCTGTATGTTTGTCTGAGCGTTTGTGAACGCTAATCTCAGAAACGGCTTAACCGATTTGGATGCGGTTTTCACTAATCTATTGTGGTAAGCTTTACATAGCATTTGGTATTTGTTTTATTTCAATCGGTTCATAGATAAAAAGCTATGTCAATTTAAATTATCACCTAGCCATGAATTCGAGCGAAGCGAGGCTGAGTCCCTAGTGTCTAATATACCTTACATTATATTCATTTGTGCGTTTTAAAATTTCTATATTAGCATGTTTATACTTCTTATAAAGTATTAATTATATGTATCTGTTCAAGGTTTGTTTTGTTTAATTTAGATTTTTGAAAATTTACTCTTGCTTAAATTTGCTTTCTTCAAATATTTTATTTGCTTTAGAGAAATGGATAAAATTATCATTATAAAACTTTCTATGATAAATTTTAAAAGTTTCTAACACAGTAAAATCATAAAGCGAAAGTCGTATATCGTATAATTGTATAATAACTATTATTTTTATTGGCATGCGTGTATAAATCTATCTATAGTGCCAATTTGAGTTGAACTAGGGTGAGATGGTACTATAAAAGAAAATTTAAGTATTTTTTCATTTTACCAGGTAAATATTCAGGTATTTATTTGAATATTACAAAAAAATAGGGCACAAGTTTAGTATATGGGACCCGGCCCCTGGAGAAGTGAGTAGTATTTTTGGATAGGGCAGGTGATATAGAGTTCCCCCCCAACGTGCGTTCACCTTGTCGTGGTGGGGGGGCTCAGTAGTGCCCGGCAATCCAACCGGGCGCGAAGCTAAGAAACGCACAGGGAGGTTGCCCACTTTGGTGGGCGGTGGGAGGTGGCCCTCATTGGGGGGCGGTGTACCATGCGGGTTGCTCCTGGTACTTCTCTGATAGCAGAGTGGACTGTGGAGCAACCCTATGGTTGTGGTGGTCTGCTTCGGCAGACCTGCCGTCGGGGCGTCGTAGTTGAATGCGCAAGCGTCCTGCAACGCCACATTAAGACGGGGGAAGGTCTTGTTGGGTTTTAGTGGGTAGTACTGGCTGTATTACGCCGGTGAGTCCCACACGTCGTGCGTAAATGCATTTCCCAACGTTAAAAAAAAAGGTGATATAGAGTTCAAATATATCTAAAGAGTCAAAAGTTATAGAGACTTAAAGTTTGAACATTTCCATACATCATTACAAAATACAAACACACCTTTAACGAATAATAAACATCCATTTTCGTGTAAAACCCATATTTTCATATAAAATAAGGCCTTATTGTATTAATATTTTGATAATTTCACTAAAAACAATAATCTAAAAAAATAATCTTGACTAAACTGTCAATTTCTGATCTATCCGCATTCAGGACAATAGATTATCGCTTAATAATTAGTTAAGAGTTATGCAACCTCCAGGTAAATTTCTAAGAAATTAATTAAATTTCTAAGAAATCTATTGTTAACTGTAACGCCGGCGTGTCCGTGGTCGTGGAGGGATTATTAAAAGTGAAAATTGTTATTAGATTACTAAGATTTTTAAATAGAAATATGTTATTTTCAATTCATGTATGCATTTACGAGTTTTTATTTGATTTATGTAAAATAATAAGTTATATAATTAATTTACGTTTAGCAAAAAATTTTAAACCATTGTTTGATTTTATTATATGTGTATAGTTTTCAGCACTATTGGTGGGTAGTCACAAAATACCGCGAAGTGCGATATTGTATATGAATACGATCTGTACTCATTAAGCGCGTTTTGGTTTTCATGTTTTGTGCTCTTTCTCATATTACTTTCCTTTAATTTTCGCATACGTTCTCGTTTTAATAGTATTACTATAATTTTAGGTGTTCTTAGTGTTGTAAGTATATTCGTGCGGTTTATAAACGTAAGTAGACTATTTTTTAATCTAATATTTATTATCGATTAAGTGGCAGTCCGAGTTGGATAACGGTTGAGAAGGCCTTAGCCCTCTTGTTGGGCCCTTTTTTTTAAATTTCAAACCCAGAACCCCTGCTGTCATTAGTGCTTTATGTTAATTTAAATTTCCGTGATAGATGTGACTCATTAGTTTAAGATCGTTTTGGCACTTGAAAGTGACATTTTGACATTTTCAAGTGTCAAAATGGCAGTAATTATAAATCTATTCAATAACAGCAATAAACAAAAAGCGTAAAGTTATAATGGTCACGACATAACATCATGGAATACGATACTAATGACAACATTACTATAGTGCCAACGCACCCAAAACACACAAAATTTTAGTGTACATTTAAAACAGCTTTTTCTTTATACAAAACTTGATTAGATACTAAATTAATATTGGAAATAACAGAATATTAAGTGATAAACTAAAGATTATGTATGAATTTTGTTTGTAAGTAGTTGTTTGTAATAACCTTCAAGCCACTGAATACATATATTTATTGGTACTTTCTTTGACATTTTAAGCAAAACTATCCCTTAGATTTTTTTAATTTTGATTTTCGTTCCCGTTGTTTTGGATGTTTTACAGGAAGAAATATATATTTTTCTATTTCTTTTTAATTATTGTATAATTTTATGGGTAGATACCGAATGTAATATTTATAATATATTTAAGACGTACAAACCCTCAGTGTCTGGCGTGATATATCCGCATTAAAATCTGAAAACATATTTAAAATGTTTACTGACATTATTCGTTTACATTATACCAAACTTTGACCAAGCTTTTTATGATGAGAAAAAATATTATAAAAAAGTTCCTTTCACTGTCTGCCCTTGGCTCATAAATTAGGTCAGGTTGAAACTCATCGAGGACAGGCTTGCTCTGTGCAAACAATTTTTTGGGACATCAATACACAGCACCATCTAGTTCCATGGTAAGCTACGGGGCTTGTGTTATGGATACCAGATAGTAGATACACTACACATATATAGCTTTAAAAACATACATATTATTATAAATATAAACACCCATGACTGGAGTACAAGCATCCGTGCTCATCACACAAATGAATGCCCCCAGCGGGACACGAACCCTCGACCCACTACAAACTGAGTCAAACTTGTCGTCGTTTCGTATTTCTTACAACATACATTCCTTAATTAACACTTATGATCGCCTGGTACATTCGAAGACGTCAGATGGGGATACTCTTAGTAAATAATAAAACAATTGAAATTGTGGTCGAAATTTTACATTTTTTTTTCTATCAAGCCATTATTCGCCTATTGTGCCCAGTGTAACGTGTGATAAGGAACTACATTATTATTTTTACATCAATATTTCTTTCTAGCAGTAGGAATTTGACATACGTATGAATTTTGTATGGACGTAATAGAATATTCATGGTATCAGTTGTAAGCGATTCGATTTGCTAGCGCCATGGTTTTAATTAGATTACGTAACACCATACTTTTTTGATAAGTTCCAGATTTTTGTGAAAAAGTTGCTTTTAACAAATATGTAGGAATACTCTAAAATATTAATAGTGCACAGAAGATCAAAACTGCAGCTCAAAGAACAACATTTTAACTCCAGTGTTATAGAAATTTTGAATTTGGACTTTAAATTATGAGTACTTTCTATTTAAAAATTACTTCAATATAGAGCTATAATATTATTTTTTCCAAGTTATTAATTTTGAAAATGCTACAATTTATATTTTCCTCATATAATTTTACTATATTTTCTATTGCAGGATACTTTCCCCTGCCAGCAGTATACTGTCTCACCTGGATCTGTCTCGACGTGTTACTTTGCACCGCATCTATTATGCATTTATGTACGATCAGCGTTGACAGGTATGATAAGGCTTTGCTAATCTAATATCACTCCCCAAATTAATTTAAATATATTTTCAAACTCTTTGCCTTTTTAGGTAGAGTTGAATATTGTTACCCAATTTGCGATTGTATTATTTTAAATTAAAAAAGCACATCTAAACCATGTCTTGGAATAATTGTCAATAGTCTGGCTATCGAAAGCGTATCCTAGAGTTTTCTTAAAAGTTTTGATATGGCAACATTATTAAATTGTCAAAGGCACGATAGACTTCAAAGTCTCTGGTTGCTCTAGTTTTAAGCATTGTTAGTAACTGTATACATTTTTGTGCAAAAACTAATGGCTACATACATATAACATAAAACGTGTATATTAGATTCGAGTTGTTTACAATGAATTGTTAAAAATGTATATCAAATAAACAACTTAACAATTACTTAATTTTGAAGCACGGCTCGGGACATTTTCTTTTGTATAGATGATGTTGATATGAATTCAAAAACTTTTAGAGTTTCTGAAGGCGTGGTGTGTTCCTTAAATTAGAACTTAAGTTCGCAAACAACTAATAAAAAAATAATCGTCGTAAATACAAAAAATACTCAAGTATCAAAACATTTTTCTCTTACTATAGTTAGTAATACCACATAAAGATTTTTTGAATTTGCCGCGTTTTCTCAGGTCACGCTTTCGTTAGCCAGATTCTAGTTGTCAAATGTCAATACATGATAGTAGATTCTTATCTTCTATACATATAAAAAAATCTGAGTCGAATCTGTATATTAAATATTTTTTTAAAAATCTTATAGAAATAGTATTAATTATTAATTATATTAGTAATTATTATCGATAAAGAGACCAAATCTATAGTTTTTATAATTTATGTCTGTCTGTCTACGAACGCATCACGAGAAAACCATTGCACAGATTTTGATGAAATTTGGTATGATGATAGCTGGTTATCTGGGTCAACATAAAGGATACCTTTTACTGTGGAAAAATATATCATCTCTGAGAAATCTATACTAAACGTTAAAACGTAACTAGGGATGAACCCGAGCGTTGCGTGGGTGTGTCGTTAGTTATAATTATATATAACTTTTAGCGTTTGAAAGGTAAGTGGTCTGAGGTAAATATGGCCTTAGAAATTATACTACTATTCATGTAAAAATATATTTACAAACTTCAAAAGGGAAGTAGTAATTAATTAAAAATGTTTTTTGGGTATCTTCGCTACTTGAGAATCCATTTTTGTGGTTTCCTTTTTTGGACAGATTACTGAATCGATTTAATGGAAAATTACCTTAAATTATGACTTACCTTTCTCTCTCAGTTCTAAATACTTCATATTTTAAGTGATATTTTTTTATTTTAAGTCACCATTAGATACATACCATTTACTAAAAAAATCATCTTTGATAAGTACTTAATAAAGTAATTATAAAGTCTCCACCTTTTTGGAATCGGTTAATAAAATAAAATTTATGAGCGCTAAATAATATTTTAAGCTTTTGAAAGTATTATGTTAAAGATATATTGTACTATCATGCCAAGCATTAAAATTGGTCTCAAAGGAGAGTTCATCCATTGTTCAACTTGATCGACCACAAAAACGCAATTACGACCATAAGTTACTATAAATGTACAAAGTTACTCTCTAATCTATAAAGTTATAGCAGAACGTAATTGAATTTCGAATATCTTACATGCCATCATATAAAAGAAACCAGGTTCCCGACTATAAAAAAATATATAATTTAACTTAACATATCCTGTTAGGTTCTCTCAAACAAACACATTTCTTCATGATATTTTTCTTTATTACATCAACAAGTCGTAAGCATGTTGACTTGATTAAATTAAATGCAAATAGCTTTTTCTTTCCTATTGGTGGTAGGCTCGTAATAATTGTATTAACGTATGATATTACTAGCAGAACCCGCAGCTTCACTCGCCCTTAAACTACCAAAAAATCTCTAAAAAAGTAGGTTTCATATAAACTTTTATTCTCTATTTTAACCCCTTTATGGGATGAATTTTGAAAAATGCTAAAACATGTATTTATTTAATTGTATTGAAGAGCATTAATACGCTCTCCAGCCCTTCAACTATCTCCACATAAAAAAAATGATGCCAATCCGTCTCTGTTTCGATGTGAGAGAAGGATAAACAAAAACACTTTCACATTTATAATATTAAATGATATTTTTAGTTTATGAAATAAACAAAAAAAACACGTGCATTTATTTAATTTAACTTTAAATATCTATTTAGAAGAAGGATAAGGATATAGGATAAAGAGGGATAAAATATCATTTTTTAATCCTCGCGCCTTTTCCATTTCTTTTTCCGGGATCTTACACACACGTTTATTAAATTGGGTTCAGTTTTCACGACAGCATTAAATTTCCCAAAGGACATCTGTGCTTCGCAGCGATACAACTTACTAAAATGAAAAAAATGAGTTTAAACATTGGAAATTATATCTAAATTTTACTTCAAAATATTTTACTAGAGAATGAGTTTTGCAACATTATAAATGCAGAAGAGAATCTGTTTTATGTTACAGAGCTAACTTACTTATTTCTTAAATTACAAGCATTTTTTTCGTATGTTTATCTAATTCAAGCAATCAAGCATTGGCATCCGATTGAACAAGTATTGCTATGTATATTCGACAACGTAATCTATTGATACCCATCAAAAAAGACGGATAAAAAGTCATCATTTTTACTTTAAATTTCAATAGTTTGTGAATAAATGAAAGCTAATTTTTATAACTATGTGCTTCGAATTAAAAATGTACACCGAATTTAAAAATCACTTTAAAAGTAATTATTTTACACATAGGGGTGAATTCATATGTAAACCCTCCTGAAGCGTAATATGTCCAAAAAAAGAAAAGCACGAAAATGAGTGCACAAAATATGACGATGATACCCAAAAAATACTTTTTTGTTAAATAATTTTTCTCTATTAGAGTGAATTAAAATATTTTTACATGTAGGTACGTATAATATATACATACGAGTATAGGCCATATGCATCCCATCCCACTTATCCTACGTGCAATCGCAAAACCTAGTGATTAATATAATCAACATTTACATCATTTTTAATGTTATTAAATCAAAACTATCTTTGTTAATTCTATTTATGTTTTCAGGTACCTTTCATTACGCTATCCAATGAGGTTTGGTAGAAACAAAACAAGAAAACGAGTTACGATCAAGATCGTCTTCGTATGGATACTCTCCACAGCGATGAGCCTTCCTTTAAGCCTCATGTATTCTAAGGTAAGAATATAATCTATACTAATATTATAAGAAGCAAAGTTTGTTTGTTTGTTTGAACGTGATAAACTCAAGAACTACTAATTCGATTGGAAATAATTATTATGCATTAGATAACCCGTTTATTGAGGAAGGCTATAGGCAATATATGATCATGCTACTACCCAAGGGAGCGGAGCAGTAATTATAAATGTCAACAAATAGGGCAGGCAGACTTTCATGCATTATTAATAATGCTTTATTTTTTTGTCAAAAAAAAAATAGTTTATAAAACTGATGTTTATAATAAAACAAATTTAACGCGGGTGAAATCGCGGGTCACAGCTAGTATAAAGTATAAACACACTAATATCATAATTAATAAGAAATTTTGTACATAATATTATGTGTGGAACATACGTACTGTAGATATTCGTTGCTCCTTAACGCTGCACCGTCTGGACAAATTTTGACGATATAAAGTAGTATAAATGTTTGTATTTTTACAGCAACAAAATTTTTGTACTTTTTTTTTCTAAAAAAAATTTTTTTTTGGTAATTGGTATTTTGGTAATTTTTTGAAGTTTTCGAAAAAAATATAACGGTTAATATTATTTAAGTATTTATAACAAATTGTTAAGTTAATAAACAATGAAATTATTTATAAAAAAAACTATTTCTCTGTTAATCCATTGAAAAGAGTCAATGATTATTTTTCAGAATAAAATAATTTCTTAACTAATTATTTAAACAATTGAAATATATCTATTTGCTTATAAACAATTTCTTAACAAATGACGTAAAAATGTTTTCCAAGTTAATTAATACCTATATTAGATGCAAAAACAGCAATAATAAGATATTACTAAAAAAATTTTTTTTGATAACATTTTTTAGAAATTTCATTTTTTGTTAATTTAAAATAACATAATTAACAAAATAATAAACTTTAATATATTTTTTACATAACTTTATTAAGTACCTAAATAAGAAAAGTTCCACGAAGCGAAAAATTTATAGACCAATTATTTAAACTTTTATGCCGTAATTTATAAAAACAGAGATTAGAAAAAAATTAAATGGTGTAACTTATAGAAAAATCGACATATTTTTTTTAACTGAGGTTTTTTTCGTTCAAGTATCTAGATTACACTATAATTTATTCAAATTTTTTAATAGTTATTTAATAGAGTTCCGGTAGTTAGGAATTTTTTATTGGAAATTTTCTCTTCTTTCAGGATCTTTTTTCAAAATTCCTTAAATATCATTATTTTAGAAGTTATTAACGAAAAACTAAATACCTTTTTTATCTTATTTTGTTAATAACAGTCGCAATTTTTTATGTGCTAATAAACCCTTAAAAACATTTTTCTAGATGTCATTCCGAATCGAATGAGCTATCGCACATATTTTTAAGAGCTTTATTTCTATTTAACACGTTTTCGAACTTGTTGACTAGACTACGAGTATACTATCTAAACCAATTTTACCAAGCTTTCAAATGTAACAATTTCTTTTGAAACTAAATCGAAGTAAGTCAAGCCGATGAATACAAGATTAACGCAAGGCATAATGAAATCGGATGCTTGCGGAATTATTCAGATGAATGAATTGCAACAAAATTAAAATCTGTTCTAATATTATAAAAAGGTAGAGTTTGTTTGTTTGAAGGTTCTAATCTCAAGAATTAATAATACGATTTTATTAAAATTCTTTTTGTTTTAGATAGCCCATTTATTCAGGAAGGCTATATATAGGTTATTATACCATCATGCTACTACCCAAGAGAGCGGAGCAGTAATCATATGTCATCAAATCAATGTCAACAAAACAGGCAGACTTCCTTACATTACTACTGATAGCATAAATCCAAAGAGTTTTGTTGTCATATTAGCGCGAGCAAAGCCGCGGGTTTTGCTAACAAAAAATGGTAGGTTTCATACAAACTTTCATCCGCTATTTTACCCCCTTATCGGATGAATTTCGAAAAATGATAAAACACGTATTTAATTAATTGTATTGAAAAGCATTAATACCAAGTTTCAAGTAATTCTGATCATACATAATTTTTTGGATTTTGGGAAAGTGATAATTTAAAAACTAACCCACGTGACTCTCCAGCGCTCCAACTATCTCCACACAAAAAGTAACATCAACCCGCCAAACAGTTTCAACGTGAAAGAAAGACAAACAAACAAACACACTTTCACATTTATAATATTATATAATAGTATGGATTAGCTATTAATTAGTCTATATATTATTTATAGTTTATATATTATTAAATATAAATTAATATATTAATTAACTATTCAATCAATACAACTATTCAATACAAAGCACGCGCGCGTCATCAGCTAATTGAATGAAGCTAACGAAGGCCTCACGGAATTGCGACCCAAAATCAAATCTTATGAAGAAAAGAAATAAAACGTAAAGATATTTAAATAAATATTTCACAAAAGTATTTTTTTATGAATACCCTAAGTTTAGTCAATAATTGGGATATGAAATTAAAAAAAAATCTGTTTCTCACTCGTAGTTCTAGAAATTAATGAGAATAAACAAACAATATTCTCCATTCTTACGTTATTATAGATTAAATGTTACTTTAATCGCTTATAAATCTTTTTTAAGTTCAACTTCTAAAGGTGTGAAAAAGCAGTGTAATATTTGTATTTTTCAGGTATCATATTTAAGATGTAATTTTTGTGGTTAAACACTGTCTGTAATATCAATGCCTTTTCTAACGTCAAAAAGCTTTTAGTCCAGTCAAATAAGGCCTGAAATCAAAATTTTGGCACTCAAATTGGCATTTTGGATATAATGTAGTTTTAATAATAGAAAAACAATGTGTAAAGGTTTTCGTGTCTGTAACCCAAGCAAGGCAAGGGTTGAAAAAAATTGTCAAAAGTGTTTTTTTTTCACAATTACTCGAAAACGGTAAAAAATAAACATACAAGTTTCAATAAAAATTAGTAGAGCTTAAAATTTTACATAAAAAAGGTTTCATTACTTTTTTTCGTCCGGCCAAAATTAACCGAGTTAGGTTTTAAGTTTAAGGGATGGACGTAAATTGTAAAAAAATCGTAGATAGAAAAATAAGCGAATTTTGTTTTTTTTTTTTAAATTGCTTACAAAAATCTAATCTGTAATTTTAGAGACTCAATACAACGGCGTAGGATTTGAAAAAAATATATACTTATTTGACTAGACTATTCGTCTCTCCCGTGGCCATGTTTGCTATAAATTCGAGACGTAAAGAATAAAACAGTAAAATAAAATCGCTGGAAAGTTAAGTTAAAGTTAGGAGATTTATTTAAAATATAAAAGATTTTTCGATTCGAAATATACCTCGTATACTAATTAACAGAATATGATATATACGGGCTCGGGTTCCTATGATTACGGAGTTACATTGTAAATAACTAATTTGATATTTAAATTATATAAAATACTAGCAGAACTGCTAGTAAAAATTAATTCAAAAGTGCGCAGCAAATGTATTGAATTTGTTAAATTACCGAATAATTTTCACATTCTACCATCACTTTGATGATTAATCAGGCAAAGAAAGATATGAAGTTAATTGAATAAGAGATATCGTTGGCCCACTATTACAAGGTTCTATGTTACAATTTTAGTACTTATTTAGTTATTAATGCTACAAGGTTCTATGAGTCATTAGCTACAGTTTTGCAAAAACAAACCACTAGATAGCGGAACTTTACCTACAAAATATTCATTTTACATAGTTCTATGTTGTTTTTTTTACGATAATAAAATAACGAAGTAAATGTAAAAATTACTAAACTTCATTAAAATTAACATAGAACCTTGTAATAGTAAGCCAACGAATTATGACAGCCAAAAGGAATTCAACAGTTGATTGGAAACACCGTTTTTCTAAATAATTAATCTTTTTCATATTATTGTGTTTATTTCCAAACCCGAAATAAGGAATTGTAAGATATTATTCATGAATTCAAATGGAAGTCAAATAAAGTCAAATATAAAGCTATATAGTAGGTCAACAATAATAATAAATTAATAACATCAAAATAAAATTTCTAAAATAAAGCAAACATTCAATTGAATTTGAATTGAATTTGAATTGAATTTGAATTGAATTTGAATTGAATTTGAATTGAATTTGAATTGAATTTGAATTGAATTTGAATTATCGTAAACATAATGTACGACAAACACGCAATTTCTAGAAAAGTTCAAGGTATTTACTTGATCCCTACAACCTACAGAATATTTATCTGTACAGATTATATCCACATGATCATGTCTATGTATACCTATAGTACTAACGACTTACACTCGCTTCGCTTGGGTCCGTCCCTAGTTTGCTTCCCCAAACAAACTTTCGACCCCATTATTATGGATATTTGAAAATTCTATTATTTTTTTGTACTATTAGAATTGATATAATTAATTTAGCATATACAATTGTAGCCTGTTGCTAGAGAGGTGGGCGTTGATAACTGCGACTCAGTTGTATAACTAATGCAGTTATTAACATAGAAACTGTTTATGATATTATATACGAAAATGATGTTCTTAGTAAATAAATAAAAGAAATAAATAAAATAACCCCAATTTCACCCCCTTAAGGGATGATTTCCGGGATAAAAACTATCCTATATTCTTCCCAGGGTTTCAAACTATTTTATTACTAAATTTCATCTAAATCGGTACAGTATTTTCGAAGCTTATTCGGTACAAACAAACAAACAAAAAATGAAATCTTTTCTCTTTATGATAATATCATAATATAGATCAAGATCGTATTATTCAATGATTAATAGAAAAAATATAAAAACACTATCGAATCAAAAAAAAATGGTTTACGAAACGAAACAAATAATAATGGTTTGAGCATAAAAGCAGAACAACCCCAAGACAATCGGTAAAATGAGAAATGGCTATAATTCCGATACAAGACTGTTGACTACAAAAAAATACCCACGATCTGAGACATGTTTTAGCGATGAGTTTGCTCTATTTCTATTCACTGGAATATG